TTCTTTAAAGTTTCTCCGTTGGATTTAGATGTTTCGTTATGGTACTACTTTCCATAATTGCGAAAAGCAAAATTTTTCAATGCTTTAAGAAAGTAAAATATATAATATTTTCTGAAAACACAGTTTTGTGTGAATCGGATAAAATGTTTGAACATTTTGAATTCAGCCACGGCAGTTTCCCCACCATTAAGTCAGTCTGCCCCCTATAAGCACCCTCACCTATCGGGTGGATGGCGCAGCCGAATCGAATGCCACACGTGAATGCCACACGTCTATGCTTTTAAGCTTTTATTTGTATATTGTGTACACTTGTTTTGTATGATATTCCATCTGTGATACTATGTAATGATTTATCTTATTGATTACATAATAAATTATGAAATTGATTATTGAATTAGTCATATAGATTGTTAGACTTTGGCCTCTTTTGCCTGGAAACGTGGAGTTGGTGATGGTCGTGGGTTCCAATCTAATAATCTGTCGATTGTCAGGTGACCTTGACTTTACCATATTTCCCTGTTTAATCCGGGGAAGATGAATGACCAAGGACCAGCTTGAATACAGGCTCCTCCTGAACATGAATTGTTATCCTTGTAACACTGTGTTTTATTTCTTGTTCTGTAAATGTGACTCCTGTTTACCTTGTAGTGCGCCAAATATCCAGAAAAGATATTCTTATTTGTCGTATGACGTTGTTTTGAAATCTTTCGTTATTCATTTCACATATCTTTCAATCTTGATGTTCATCCCGAGAAAATATCACAAATATATATCTTATTCTTCGAAAGAAACTATTATTTAACCTTACGTTACTTTGTCTCTCGCCCCATCTTTCAAGTCTGAAGTTCATGAATCTAAATAAATAGAATACACAATACTTGACATTGTGAATTCCTCACAAGCAATCAGACTAATCATGAAATGGATATTTTTGATCAAAAGCCGATGTGAATTCTTAACACAGCTAATAGGCGTCATCATTATTCAGTGGTGCCAGGCGATGAGTGCTGAGTCATGTGGAATAAGGTGAATAAAAAGCAGAGTTATGTTTCAGATGTATTAATTGAATAAAGATCAACATTGTCGACCACCAACCCTGCGTTGATTTGTAAAACATTTTGCATAAAAAGTTTTGATTTATCTTAAGATACCAACTGATACGAGAGTGAAATAAACCTTCGTAACGTTTTGTTTTGCTGACTAAACAGTAATGTTTTATTAACTGAACTGACCACAGTTACTTAATTCGTCTGAGGACTGAAAAGCTGTGATGCTGATTGAGAGAGTAGCAGAAGTAGTGTGGAAACTTTCAATTGCCAATATCCACCCTGTGTCCTATGCATTAATTGGCATCTAATGGCGAAATTTTAATTTAATTTTCAATACTAGCAGAGAGTAAATTATTGATAAAGGCATACCCTATTGTTTACCACAGTTACTAGAAAATGTGGACGTTGATTTGTTCACGCCAAGTTATAGAAAGTTTGGGAGGAATGGACATTGATTGAAGTATTTATAAAATAATACTTCATCATGGTAGCAAGACAGTTAGCGAGAATTATGATTTAAGTTACTTTAAGTTTAAGGTACTTCATCGAATGTTCAAAACAGTAAAAAAGAGTTATGTAGAGGAGAAGGGTAATTAACCATTATGAATAATTAAATTGAAGTAGCAAATATTTATAACAGTCCAAAGTCCAAACAGTTACTAAGTGCTATGCGGAAGGGAATTTATGGTGGTAATAATTATTATAAGTGATACAATCTAATTTATATTGACATGACACTAATTATTACAAGATTACTGAGTTTATAACACTGTAACACCGTTTCTTATACTGACTTAAGGCTCCCGCACACAGAGATAATTTGGCGTGCGCCAATCGCGCTACTTGCTCACCACACTCCTCCCCGTATATGATGCGCCTTTCGCTCAACGATATCTGACTTCAGCCTATCACATGGGCAATCAAAATGGCGGTCTACTACAGTGATCGTCACGCTTCTCCTTGTCTTTGAATTCTGGCGATCAGATATTATATAGGTAGGGGTAATCTTGCCATAATTCAACACATTTATCCTCGAGGATTGCTTATGTCACCTCTTCACTGGTTGCCGCCATATTTCAATCCAATAACGCATGCGCGTTGTGTTCGTCGTCTGAGAAAGTCGCGCACAGCAATCCGCACACGGTGTGCCATCGGCCACGAGTGGTCAAAAATATTAAACACGATAGATATTTTCCACACGATCACGGGTGGCCAAATGCACACTAAAATTATCCGCACACGATGCGCGACTAGTCGAGCGTAATTGGCGCTGCGCCATTTTCTCTCCGTATGCGGGCGCCTTAAGGGTTGCTGGTTACAATGGGTTTCAGTATAGAAGTTTTAGCTAGACTGTTAGTGATTGTGCTTAATGGACTAATATCAATGAAACTGATATGGGCAAGAACTAATCTTGAGTCCTTAATTCTTTCCTCTGTTTAGTTTTTGTTTGGATATCGATACAGGGGTTTCCAATTTTGTGTGTGGTGAAGTATCCAATTGTATGGTAGTTTAAATCCTCTCCATCCGTACTCAATGGAATGTGACTGGCTGTTGTCGGTAACATTCCAGAGACTTGGTTAGAAATCGATGCTTAAATACACCCTTATGAAGTGAACTGTCTCTCACAAGAATATCATTGTTATTCCAGTTCAGACAGAAAGTCTTTATTTACGAAAATTGTGATATTCAGTAAAGATGTTCTATCTTAACCTATGTTTTGATGTATAGTTTTTATACTGATGGTTTATATAACTTGTTTGAAACTTATTTAACTTCTGGCATTTTCTTGTTTTCACACAAAGAGTAATAATTACTCAGTCCCTAAACTGTTGTTATAAACGTAAATCAATACACTTACAGACAAATTCCAGTTGGTATTTGGGAATAGATCCTGCATCATTAAAGTTTATGTACGTTAGTTAAACTTGTACCATTCATTTGTGAAGACAATGTAAAGTATTATGACGAAAGCTGTCTTTTAGCTTCTTTTTTTAGTGGATTCTGATGTGGAAGGGATACGTTGAAGATCACTTACGAAAAAGGTTTCTCAGATCGTCGATTAACATAATTGAAATTGCAACAAGCTTCAAATGGGAGAATCTCTGGAATAAGTCAACCTCATTGCACCTGCGACCGATAAATTCTTAGTTGCGTAAGCCGCTCCCATTATAACTTAAAAGAAGGAATGTAATCTGAAAATTGATGTGGATAGGTGTGATTGGGTTTTTATATAGTAAAACAAATATTAAGACAAAACTATCTCCATACTATCAACATCAAAATCTTTTATAACAAGAAATATACCCTGAAGTAAAAACTGAAAGAAATATTTTTCATATAGAATAATAACATCATCTGAAAGTCAAAGAAGATACACCGAGATGTATGAAGATATCATAGCGTTATATAACATTACCAATTTACAACTTCTGTAGAAACACGATACCCCTTCTAAAACTTCTAAATAAATAGAACACAGTTGAATTTAGAAACACCGGAGATGCCACTCCTTTTCGAATCGCTTGAAACTCAAATATAAAAGAATCTATATATGATATTTCTGGTTGATACCCATTGAAGATGTTCCGGAAATTGACAATTTTGGTTACTTGTTGAAAAGCAAGACCTCGTGGGTGTTTAGTGAGCAATACTATCACATCTGATATCACTTTGTAAACGTTTGGTACCAACAGTGTTCACTTATTACCCTCTGTTGAAAAGTAACTTCTATCTTTACAATGAACTTATATTAATTTATAATACAATCTGAAGTCAACAACAGAACAGTAAAGGACCAATAACTGTTTGTAAAGTTCCATAAGATCTGGTAGACGGGAAGGGAGAGATCCCTTGTTTGAAAATTCAGTTAATAAAATGCAATTTGCAACAGACTATACTCTTTATACAACATCTGTCCCTTTTTATTGACAGAATGCAGAAGTTATGGTCATGACATCAAACTTTTGGAAATGTTGCTCCTATTTTAAAAAACGGTGAATTCTGCTATCAGAGTATTGTAACTATCTGTACATTTCGCCTTTCTTTCTTTCTTTATGAACATGAAATGTAGAATTTTATATCATACAAACGAACCATTCTAATCCTTTGATTGATGGTTTCAGATCGTTTTTCATACGAAACCAAATTGGAAATAGTGAATTCCAATAGTAAAACACCACCCAACCTTATTGTAATATAAGTGAAAGGTATATGAATATATATTTACAATATAAAACACGTGTAATATACATAATGATGTTATCAGGGGAGGGCTGTAGTCATTTAACTCTTGATTGACACCCTCTCAGACTATAAGACATTGGGGTAGTACTTACTGGGGATTCTTTTTTATTGGAATTATAACGTAGCTGATCATTTAAACTTGTAAGTACCCCGACATGTTCTTTTGTTATTTGTATTTTGGGTAACGACGCGATAGTCAATTTGTCTTTGACACATCTAGGCATAAAAAAAATGTTGTTCTAGTTCGTTATCTGATAATAATACATATCTCATAGAAAGAGGATGAAAAATAAAATGAAATGAAGTTTCTACAGCATG